CATGCCGGTAAATAAACTTTCAAAATTCCCATATAAACACTTCAACTCGAAAATAAGTTAACTAACAAACACATCCGACAGTTGAATCCTAGCGTGTGCATTACAATTTCACAAACGTGGCAATCCAGTCAGCAATAAACGAATTAAAACCTGTCACATGTAAGGCACGAAAACACACTAAGCACCGACTATTTCCCATTCATTTTAACCTCAAGACCCTAAAACACTCAAAATTAATTTCATTTTCAGTCGCCTCTCTCTCATAGAACTCTACATTTTCAATCGTCTACTCAAATAGAGTGAACGATTGTCATAGGACTTTCCGTCCATTAGATCATGATCTGCACATTGTATTTTTTTTCTTCAAAATCGGTCCCAAAAGAAGAATCTGAGTGTTTCGTGTACCGTCGATTTCTCCTTCACCAGAAACATAGAAGTCATCCAAGGTCTGATTGTAATCTTTCATGAAATTTCTAGTTGTTTTCTTGGGTTTTTATGCGTTAATGAAGTTGGTCATGATGGATATATTTTGTATGCATGCAATGGTTCTTTCATTATTTAAGGTTTAATATTAGGACTTTTGTGGAATAACATACTAAATTCTTATTTTTTTTCCTCTGAATTTTGTCAGTTCCATGGCTGATTTGGCATATAGGGCTAAAAAATGAGGGTTTTTTTATCATATCGAAATTTTTTATCTCTTAAAGTGATAAATAATGGTTCTTTGCCGCATTTGCTTGTTGTTTTTCAAAGACATATTCAGACAATATTGTCTTTTTCTTTTGAATATTTTACTGATTTAACTTATCTTATCTTATTTTTATAGGTGCAATGAGGTAGGATGGTTGTTCTTGTGAAATTACAATTTCACTATCACGGACAACCGGTAGCTAGCCTATTAGTGAGGTATGAAAACGGTATAACATGACCTACTATTATAATTGTTGACACTGATGAACTGCATGTTATTCAATTCAACAAATGGATAGATGATACAGGATACTTAGGTGTGGAGAAATTTGCATGTCAAGTCAATTAAAAAGGAGCATTTCGATTTATTAAGTATGATGCTGATGTGTTAAAATTCTGCAAAGATCTTCATGATGGGGATTTTATTGATGTTTATTTATGTCACACTGTTAATATGCTATGTGTTGATAATGAATTGGATGAAATGTTAAGTAGTAGTGTGGAACCCAGTTATATTCCATATGACCAAACAATTGGCTTTAGTGAAGTGCCACAAAGGCAAACAAGTAGAGCTAATGCTAGGGCAACAAACTCACATACGAATGATATAAATAGTGGTTGTTTCACTGAGGGGAGGGTAAAGGGAGTGCTGCTGATATAGAAGAGTCTACTGAGGATGAATGGGAGTTCTACAACTTTCATCTAGCTATAGATTCAGATTGTGATGAATTTGAGAGCAATTTTGAGAGTGAGGATGCTGAATATGAGGGCGTTTTTGCTGATGAGGATACAGATGAGTCACTTTATGATGCTGATGAAGATGTTGTTGGAGAGACATGTGATATAGAAAGGTAACCTTGTTGCTGCTAGACAGACCAAAGTAAATTAGAAGAATTTGAAAGAGAGATCTAGTGATGTTAATGTAGATGAGCTACCTAGTGGCCCAGTAGGTATTGACCCTAGATTTGAAAATATTTACAAGGATAAGTCTGCTAAATATGCTAGAAAATTGGGAGGGGATGAGCAATACCTAGACAGTTCAGATCCAGGGAGTGAGGATAGTACTGATAATGATGTAGATGCAGATGATGAGGTGCAGAACCTTCCTCCAAGAAGATACAGTAAAAAGGTCTACTTTGACCCTAAATGTAAGAAAATTATTTTCCAACTATGAATGGTCTTTGAAAATAATAGAAAATTTAGATCTGATTTACAAGACTATGTTGTACAGAGGAGAGTTCAGTTAAAGTTGAGGCCAAATGAGAGGAATAGGGTCAGGACAACATATTTGAACTCTAGTAGATGTAGATGGCATATTTTAGGCAATTTATAAGGCCACACATAGAACTTCATTGTTAACACCTGCTACCCTGTTCGTTCATGCTTCCCAGTCACAAGGAACAAGCTTGCTGACACAGCTTGGATAGTTAAACATTACAAAGATAAGATCATTAATCAGCTTACATAAAGCTCAAGAAGTTGCAAGAGTTGATAAGGACTAAGTATGGTGCGTATGTAGGAAAAACAATATGTGCCAGAACTAGACAAAAGGTAATGGGTAAGTATTTACGTGATTACAAATGGAGTTTTCTAAGATTTATCATTATGTTGACATAATAAGAACTACTAACCCTGGCAATACTGTTACGGCGAGGACTTTAAAAGAAATAGAACTTGGTAAAGAGGTCTTTGTAGGGATATATATATTATCTACATGCTTTGAAAACAGGTTGGTAAGAAGGGTGTAGAAATATAATTGGCTTTGATGGTGTATTTTTGAAGGGAGTGTGTAAATATGAGCTATTGTCATGTATTGCTAAGGATGGTAATAATCAGATGTACCATGTTGCTTGGGTAGTGGTTGAGAAAGAGACCAAGAACAGTTGGCCATGGTTTTTTTTAGGTGTCTAATGGAGGACTTAAAACTGACAGAATCTGAAGGTGAAGGACTAACAATTATGTCTGATATGTAGAAGGTATATGTATTGTTTTAATCTCGTTTTTTACTTTAATACTTAAACTTGCATTATATGAACTCTAACAATGTATTTTTATTGTTCAAGGAACTTGTTCGTTGTATCTGAATTAATGCCAAATGTTGAGTATAGAATGTGTGCAACGCACATATAGAGCAACTAGAAGAAAACCTGGAGTGGTGAGGAAAGAAGGAAGAAATTCTGGGATTGTGCAAGAGATTCATTTGAAGCATTTTTAAAGGATAACTAGATGAGTTGGCAGAATTGGGTGACAATAAGATAATAGAAGACTTGCTTAGATATCCCAAACAGTCATGGTACATGGCCTTTTTTAAAGACTATAGTAAGTGTGATGTTGTGCAGAACAACATGTGTGATACCTTAAACTATTGGATACTTACTTCTAGGCACAAGTCAATCATAACTATGTTGGAAGAGATCATAGTGAAGGTAATAGAGAGGATGACTAATATGAGAGAAATAGCTACAAAATGGAATTCTGATATATCTCCTATGGCAATAGGGTACATTGAAGAGCAATATATAAGAGCCGCCAAGCATGAATATAAATGGAATGGGGTCACTAGATCTACTGAGTTTTTTTATATTCTAGGTGTTTTAGAAAGGGCAAAGTTCAACTGTTGGTGCTGGGAGCAGTACTGTAAATGCCTAGGCTACTACAACTGCATCAAGAGGTCATTTTGGTACTACTATTGATGGTGGATCTGCAACACAACAATTTGGTACTACTGCAACAACTAGATCTGCAACACAAAGAAATTCTGAAACTACTTCTGATGGTGGATCAGGAACACAACAATCTGGAACTACAGAAGAAAGATCAAGGACTCCTCAATAAATTCTTAAAACTTTAGGTGGAATGCCTAAGACTGATGAATTTGAAATACTGTTTGGTAAATCAGGGATAGTCATAGAGAGGGTAAATATGTGAAATTCTGTCCAATTGTTATGTCTAAATATTATGCTAAGTTCTGAAATTATATTTCTATTTAAATGTAGTTTGGGTTAAGAGACAGAGTCACCCACGATCCTAGGCAAATAATTGATGCTAGCCAGACCAATATTGATCTTGGATAAATAACACTTGTACTAAGGTGGAAAGGAACAAATGCAGTAACACAAAGGCAGCCTCAACAACAGGCTAGAAGGAGATAAACTCAGGCAACCCTAAGCCAATCTGAAACTCTTTCTTCAACTCAACCAAACCTGAGCCAATCTTAGTTCAACTTCAACCAGTCTTAACTATAATGATTTGAAGAAATATTTCCCTTTGTGAAAGTTTAAGTTTGTTAGTATCAGAACTTATTTGTAGGTTATTTTTTTGTGGAAGATTTAGTCTAAAATATTCAGAACATAGTTAATGAATGTTGTTTTGGTTTGGTTTAGGCACAATAGTAAATTGGTTTCTGCTAGTATGGAGATTTGACAGCCTACTTTTGACAATCAAGATGATTGTTTTGAACTTGTCTAATATATGTTCGGATGTTAATGCCAAGTATCACTTTTCATTGCAACAAAATACTTCATGCACTTGACATTATTATTGTTTGTTAAGAATAAACACACAATGCAAAGATCCTAAGCTAAAATTACACTATAAGGAGCATTGTAGCAACAAACGCAATTACATATTGTTTTCCCCTATTCCTTCGCTGCTCATTGACGCGAATTCTTGATATCAGTCTGGATATCACTTGCTTGTAATGATTTGGAAGAAATGGGTCAACCCACCTGAAAAAATTATAGCAACTGCTTGTACCATACTTTGAGCATCCTAAGAACCTTCTACCCGAATTAGTGGGCTTCTAGGTTATGCACACAATAACGTCAATCTCCACAACGACAAAATACACGACGTTCCATTACATTCTTGGCCTGAAGAATAAAATATCGACCTCGAGAAGAAAAAAACTGACTTGAATCTATAAAAAAGTTGAAGAGTAGAAGTGCTACAAAGCTTGTATAGTCAATAACAAAGGTTGTAGGCCAAATGAGGAAGAAGAAGCCCTCTAAATAGATGGGCCCTTGGGTTTATTACCGTTGGGCATTGAAAAAAGCTCATTCACGCTCCTGCCAGGCGTGACTTATACTCACAACTGACTAGGAATAATTGACGTTACATATATTGAGTCAACGATAGGAGGTGTTTATTAGTTCACTTATACTCAAGTTAAATGTTCACGTGGGAATTTTGATCTTCTCAATCAGCCAAGAAAGCAATGAGCAATGAATTATAAAGTTTCAGATTTAAATCTTAGCAAAGGCAAAAATCTAGGTGATTTCTTTCATTTGTTCATGCCTCAAAAGTTGGTAAGTCCACCTCTATTTGGTGTGCGCGTGAGCTTACTTCCCTATTTCTTCCTCATAAAAACCTAAACTCACATTAAACGCATCTCCCACTCTGTTCTGCAAACCATAGTACTGAACGTTCACTCAAACAGCTACGCTCACCTATTCAGATAGAAAAAACACACAACAGAGAGTATATATATCAACAGCAGCAAAAGACCAAACAGCAAAAAGGCATTAACCCAAAACACCATCAAACATGCCGATCGCCGCCGCCGCCGCCGTTAACTTCCATCCGACGACAACACGCTACAGCGGAGCATTCGCCTCACCACCTTCTTCACCCTTCCGCACCTCCGTTTCCATCTCTAACTCCGTCAACACACGTGTTACTTCGCTCTCGTTGTCCATGAATTCTATCCCTAATTTCACCACCACCCGCCGCACATTCCTACTTTTATCCTTTGCTGCTTCTGGCGGCAGCGGTGGAGACGATAATTTCAACGGAGGTAACGGAGGCAGCGGCGGAAACGGCAGAGGTGGCGGCGGCGGTGATAACGAGGAGAGCGGCGATCAGAAAAACAACAAAAAGGAAGCTTTGATGGCATTGACGGAGGCAGGTAACTCGCTGTTTTTACCTCAAACTCTATATATACACTGAATTTTTTCAAATAAATAAATAAAATACATATAGTAATTTGGACCGATTTAAAATCCTGAATTCCTCTCTGTCGTGCAATCATATTCTGTATTTACTAATTTAAACTGGATTTGGGTTATATATGCGGATTGTATTTTTTTTTTCTTTATACTATCCGTGAATTTTAGCCAGTGATAGCAGTTGTTACCTTTTTATTAGATTACCAATTAATGCTTATAATTGATCTGATTGTGTAATTGTTTTTTGCATTTTAAGTGCATGTAACTGAAACTCATTTAAATTTTGGATCCGTATCTGCTTCTGTAGGTAGGTCATTGGAGAGTTTGCCGAAGGATATGAAGGCGGCGATAGAGGATGGGAGAATACCTGGATCCATAGTATTAAGGTTCTTTGAGCTAGAGAAATCTCCATTATTGGCATGGTTGCTTCAATTTGGAGGGTTTAGGGAGCGGCTTTTGGCAGATGATCTTTTCTTAGCTAAGATTGCTATGGAATGCGGCGTTGGTATATTCACCAAGGTTGGGAATCAGCATTTAGCACTTCAAGTTTTGAAAATTTACTAGTTTCCACCCTAAAGTTCAATGCTTTTTTACTTATTTGGCCTTGATTTTAAAAATATTTGTTATCTGCCTGCACTTTCTTGACACAATATCGGCGACTTTCTAGTGGGGAAGGCATGCATTTGTAGGTGGTTGGGTACTTCTTTTTTGATGAAGTAAGGTATTGCATTATAGGCATCAAGAAGATGCTAAAGGTTACAATCTAAAACTTGGTTAACTCTTAATACAATAGGTGGTTGGGTACTTCTTAATTAACGGGACCTAACACCTATAGTACTTTCTTAACAGGACCTTACATCTATAGTACTTTCTTTAGTTTGTTAAATATTTGGCGAAGACCAAAAGTGAGCGCAAACTTAAAGGACCAAAGCTACTCAGGAGTATATTTAAGGGACCATTTTGAACCTGCCCCTAAATATAAGAGACTTTTCTTTCATTTTTTCTGTACTATGTTGTCATGCTGAAATGGTAAAAATTGTGATTTTACTATAGTTTTTAATGTCGTGTCTATTGTCAAAAGGTGAATTTATCTAGGTCATGTAACTTTGGAAGTTGGTCAAAATTGATTTTAATTATGGATAGATGGGGTAGTATTTGATTGTCCTTTTTGACACATTTGTAGTGATTTCCGAGATGGGAGACATACTGTAGGATGGAGAATTTTCAAGTTTTAACTGCCATGAAGAATATAATTTGGACGAAGTAGAGACTTTTACGCAAAAATTAAGATTGCTGCAAGAGGATAGAGTTGTTAGGAGTAAAGATTGAAATTTTGGGAGGATATAAGATTGAAATTTTGGGAGGATATTTGTTAATTTGGCTATTGTCTGTTTGCTGAAGTGTTGGAGTCGATCAAGAAACCATCATTGGGAGAGATTATCAGCAGATGAGCTTACTAGTAGGCTATGAACTCATCGGTTCAGACAATATGAGCGTTGACTCATAATAAACGAACAACAAAGGAGATTTATCGAGCTCAAATTATGTGTTTATTTTCTTTCGTTTAACTTTTAGGATGCATTCTTCTTGAAGCACACTTGGCTTATGAAGAAAAACGCTGTACTTGAGGAATTTATTTATTTTTTCTAAAAATAGGCCTTTTTCTTTCATTGTTTTGTGTTTGATATTAAGACTTTGCTGGTATTTTGATGTTAAGACTTTAGTTAAACCGTATTTGGGGTGAGGGAAAGGTGAAATCCTACTCTAGAAAAAAATTAAAATTTACATCTTTTGTTATGAGTAATAAGAACTATCCGGGAATTGTTGACAATAGGAGTAAGCTTACCATGTAGGAGAGCAAGATGATGAAAAGTGGGGAGTGCTTTGTGCTTTACTCTGCAACCTTCAAAAATTTATTGAACCAGGGGAAGTCTACAACTCTTTGTTCATCTCTTTCCCTTTCTTCAATCTTTGTTCTTTAAATAATAGTCAAAAAACATCTAGTTTCTAGATGCTTTCCAAGAATCCTTTCAAGTCCTTAACGTCCTCTGTGGTCATGCTAACGGTAAGAATATTTGAAGTTTTTTTTTTAGTTATAATGGAACATCGGGTTTCCTAACTTTTATTTTATGTATGTTATGCTTGGTAAAATGTCATGTCTGTTTATTGATCAGGTAAGATGAAATTTAATGAGAGTATTTGATTCAGCCTCTCCTTTCTCTTTGTTGTAAAGCTGGGGCCCATTTGGGTTTAAGCTGGATAGCCATGAACTCTGGTTGCACAGACCCCTCATCCAGTTGCAGTTTTGAGGGTCTTCGAGGGTTGGGATCGGGGTGGAGATGTTTCAGCAGAATATTTCAAAGGTTGTTCGTGGGCTTCTTTCGGAAACAACCTCTTTATCCTTCGGGGTAGGGGTAAGGTCTGCGTACGCACTACCCTTCCCAGACCCCACTAGTGAGATTTTATTGGGTTGTTGTTGTTTCGTGGGCTTCTTATATGGCCAAAGCTGGATTGCCCGAAGTTAGCTTCAACTTCCTTTTTTTATTGATAACCGTAGTGTACTGACCAGCTTGCGTACACCTCTCGACTAATTCCATTTTTACCTACTACCTCCCACCAATACAGGTATTGGGTAACTCTATCCACCAATGCTTGGACAGATGGGAAGAAATTACCTAGAGCCTGTTTGGAAAGCCACTTAGGAATTGGATTTGAGTGTAATTGGATGTAATTACACAATTAGGCATGTTAAGTAATTACTTGGTCAACATGGAATTGAGTGTAATTGGAGATGTGTAATTACACTCTCGAATTCTCAAGGGGAGGTGAGAATTGGTGGTAATTACTGTGTAATTACAAGGTTACTTTTGAATTTTTTTCCTTTTTGTTTTTATTTTAATTTATTTTCTTTATAACTTTTTATTTCTATTATTTTAATTTCTTTTTATTTGAATTTTTATTTTATTTTTACTTTTTAATTATAAAATATATTTTTCTTTGTACATTATTTATCTTTATTTCTCTACCTTTACTTCTTGCGATTACATGTAATTGCTCGTATATTTTATTTTTTTATTTATTTTATTTCTTCATTTAGCGTAATCGCGTTATTACTCTAGTTTTTGAAACTACACCTCCTAATATTAGAAATAATGAGTCATTAACAAACTTTGGCATATAATGAGTGATGTCATTAAAGTAGAACCTCATTGTTGAATGAGGTTATAAACTTATTATGTTTCGATTTTTTTTTTTTTTTTTTTGGATTTTGAAATTGTATTATATTTATGGTTCCAACTTGTTTTAGTAGTATTGGCTTGTTATTTCATATTGCATGTTGTTCATTTTTTAGTTACAATTGATAGATTAGTTTTGTCAAATATTTGAATAATGTTATGACATTATATTTGTAAACATTAATTTATTTTATCAAATATGCATTTCATGATGTTCTTACAAAACGTATATTATTAATTTTATAATTAATTAAACTAAATATTATTAATTTGGAAAATATATATCATTTATTTTTACAATATTAATTATAAATATAATTACTAATTAATGCATATTCAAGAAAAAATATGTATCTCAAATACCAAATCTAATACCATTTATACTTATAAAAAATCATTTATAAACATATATTTATTATATTAAATTTTAACTTTTGATAATTAATTCATTTAAAATTTAATCTGACTATGTAACTACACTTGTACAACCAAACAGTACGCTTGTAATTACGCTGTAATTACGTTATGACAAACAAACAAGTCGTCGTAATTACTATATTGTGTTATTACTTGGCTGTGTAATTACTACCCTAGTAATTACATCAATTCCAATTATCGGGTCGTTTTCCAAACAGACCCCTAGTGTTTTTGCCTAAGCCAAGATTTGAACCTAAGACCTCATGATCCTCAACCCACTTCATTGACTAAATATATTGATAAGATAGCTTGGTATCCAAACATAAAGAATTATGATCCTTCTTGTGTACATAAGAAATTGGGTGGGTATAGGGCATATAACAAAAAGGGTTTCCTCGATCATAAAATAAAAAAAGAAAAAGCAGACAGGAAGAGTTTGATTCTTTAAACAAGCAGGTTTTGGCTTCTTTTTTAGCACCCTAATTCTCCCTTGGTTGCAAGTGAGCTTCAACTTCTTTACAGGAGAAAGAAATACATAGAAAAAGAAATTATACTCATATAGACCTAACGTCCTAACCAATATAGTTTCATGTGACTAGTCCGAGAAGCATTTGGAGCAGCTATGGAAAACTTGTTTCTCATGGTCGATAATTTCTATGTCCAATAAAGGACTCTTTTTCTTGTGCAAGCATGCACTTGCTTCATCTTTGCTTTAAGAAGTGGGAAATTCCAAAGTCATTGCTGTGGATTATGTTTTCTGTAGTGCTAGAAGGCAATCCTCATTGGCTGAATCCTCTTTTTATCGTCGCTTGCCAAAGTCCAACTGCTATATTTTCTTCTCTGGATTCATGTTCCTTTTCAGGCGTGCATAATTTACCAACCTTTGTCCCGCACATATTGCTTTCCTTATGGGATAGGTCTACTTTATAATTTTTATATTGGTAGCTGCACGTTATTATCTCTATTACTATGGCTTGTAACGTTACCATACTTGGCTAAGCTAGAGATCCATCTTTATATCTTTGGGCGTATGGGGTCCATAAGAACTTGAGTCGACAACATTATGGTTTTTCATTGTGCTGTATAGGGAAAATTTATTTCAAATGTTCCCATTCACCCCAATTAACAGGGACTCCATTCCCAAAGATCTTGAAAGTCCAGCATGATAGGCTATTAGGCTGCTCTGCCTGTCCTTGGCGAACAAAAAGAAAAACAATGTTATGTTACTTTTTCTTTGCAGATTATTTTCATGTTGTCTATATCTGTTTATGTATTAAAATTGTGATTATTTCTCTGTGCTTTTAATTGGTAACTCATTTTTCACCTGTGCGCTACAGCAAATTGCTGTTGCTTTCCTGCTGTCAAAATAGTACGAATATTTGTTTGTTAATTAATCTGCTTTATTCCAGACTGCTGCTGAGTATGAGCGCCGCCGGGAAAACTTTTTTAACGAGCTGGAAATTGTTGCGGCAGATGTGGTATGTTGCCCTTCTTCTGATTGCTAATATATACATCTGTTTTCTATTTTGATTTTTGTTTTTTGCTTGTAATGCTAATAGAAAACAAGATTTTCTTCCATGCAGACCTATTTTTGCTTCCTCTGATTTTATGCTGTGAGAATTATTGGGCTTTCATGGAGGCCGTCACTTTTGCGGGAGTAATTTCCTTTTATCCATATATGTTGCATTTCCAAAAACTTTTTTTTCCTGAAGTTCATCTATCTTTAAAGTAGATCAAATTCACTGCCCGGAACATTTTTCATTTACCTTGGACAAATAATTGATGTTTCTCTCCAAGATGTCATGTATCCTTGGTTAATGAGAAACTTAGATTTTAAATGGCAAATGATTGATGATTCTCTCCAATGTGTTGTTTATCCATTGTGAACGAGAAACTGATATTTTCATGGACAATCACCGATGATTCTCTCCAAGGTATTGTTAATCCGTGGTAAGTGAGAAGGTCAAGTTTTAAGAAGTTCTACATGTTTATCCAGAAATGTTTATCATTTTGTCAATACATGTACTTCTGAAGAAAATGGTGATCTTCCTCAATGCGGTTGAGCTGCAGAAATCCATTCCTTTCAGTGCAACTTCTGTTTTTAGGAAGAAGGAAGATAACGCCACACTCTTTATGGACCAACTATTGCTCTAGGTTTCACAGTTCTATCATTGATATTTTGCCTTTATTCTGCGTAGGTGATGGCCGTAATAGCAGATTTCATGCTCGTCTATCTTCCTGCTCCTACTGTTTCTCTCCGACCACGAATGGCAGGTGATGCTGGACGAATTGCCAAGTTCTTCTACAACTGCCCAGATAATGCCTTTCAGGTCATTAATGCTTATCATGTTAAATTTTATTCAGGTCATAAACACGGGGTTGTACGTTAAGAAAGGTTAAAGGATAAAATTTGACTTGCTATTATATACAGATGGCTCTGCCTGGAACATCGTACACGTTGTTGCAAAGATTAGGTGCAATAGCGGTATGTAATTCTTGTCTTGCTCTCATTCTTGGGAACTAAAATTTCAAGAATGAACTATTGACTAATAACTGGTTTTGATTGGATCAATTTTTTAGCGCAATGGGAGTAAACTTTTTGCTGTTGGAACTGCCTCTTCCCTGGTAATGTTCAAGTTTTCATTTTTTTCATTTTAGATGTGTTTGTGCTGAGACTTTTTCATCTTTACCTTTATCCATATATGTTACAAATGAACTCATTGTTGGTGTCGATTGTTCTTTCTTTTAAAGATCCTATCATCATTCATCTTTTTAGTGATTTGCTTGTGAGGTCATTATTGTTTTTGAAGTGTTAAGTAAATTTTATTGCTCCAGCCCTAAGGATGGTGCTGTAGCTGTACATATCGAGCAAAAACAAGATATATAAGGATTCTGTGAGGTCTAAAATTAATTTTGCTTCACCTACTAGTTCCTCTTTACCCCAAAGAAAATAAAAGCATACAATTGTACAATTGAGCTTAATTTTTTTGTATTGCATTGACTGTCTTGAAAACATCCCATGTTCTGTTCCTTCCATATTATCCACCATTTGGATTGGGGGGATTGTTTATCCACCATATGGATTGGGGGGATTGTTTATCCACCATATGGATTTGGGGGATTGTGTTCCACCATTTGTCTTCCTTGAATGCTTTCCCGTTCCAACATTTCGACATTTGTGCTGTAGTCTTGGGATAACCCAGTGAAGATTTACAATGTTGAGGAAGAGCTGCCGTAGTTGGTCTGTTGTAGGACAGTGTAGAAAGGGGTGGCTAACACTTCCAGGCTTCTCACCACATAAGTAGCATCTTCCCCTTTGAGGTCATTGCTGAAACTTCTAATCATATAGAATGCAAAAGGTTCAATATTAATCTAAACCTCAGCATGTACTGTACGTTCCAGGTCTCCGATACCCTTGGCTTTTTCCTGATAACAAAAGTTTATGAAAAAGAATACAAGGGTGTTTAGTGTTTCATTCCCCTATAATTAATTGCTTCTTTGTTGTCCAATGCCTCAACTTTGGTTGACCATCCCTTAATGCCCTAAAAGTACCTACATTTTGTACCTACTGTACGGTCTACTGATTTCTTATTGGGCTCAAAGACACTGGATTTCTTCCTGCATAACTAGTGACTAGTGACACCGATAACTGAGTCAATTGAGCCATCATACTAAGCTTAAAAGTGAACTGAAAATAGAATGATAATGTTTTACCCAGCCCATTGCACCATCAAACTCATAATAATTACCAAATACTAGAAATATAATGTTTTATTTTGAGCTAGTTTTTCCTAAGGAAAATTGCTCTGAGAAAAGCTGAAATTTGAGAAAAGCTGAAACTTTTCTCATTTATGCCAAAATGTATGTGGCAATACTATTTGCGGATTTTGTATAAAGCCACGGAATGGCTAGAAATTTTGAAGAGTGTATGTGGATGGGTAGAGTAAGGTCTGCGTACACAATACCCTCCCCAGACCCCACTTGTGGGATTTTGCTGGGTCGTTGTTGTTGTTGTTGTTGTATGTGGATGGCTATATAGCACGGGACCTGGGGTCCATTCCTTATGCTGAGGCGGAGCTTAGTTGTTGTGCACCAATGGATCTCACTCACAGCAGCCTGGTTTAGAACTTTTATCCTAAGATAATCACATTGACCCAAGATAATGTTGAAAGTTTTTGGAAGGGAAAAGAACAATTTTTTGACTTGAATCACCTCACTGTCCTGTGATTAATGTTTTTGGCATAACCTCTGTCATTAATTCGCAAAAGAGTCCTTGATTCTATATTAGAATTTTTATTTAACTTCACTTCAAGCATATCACTAATATTTTCGTTCCTGCCTTTTGTTGATTATTGTTTTCTTTCGTGGACACGATTCTTTGCACAATGATATGGGTCCTAGAGGTACCTAAATGAAATTAATTTCTTTTCCACCAGGTTGGCACAGTAGTGACAAATGCAGTACTAAATGCTAAGAAGGCTGTTAATAAGTCCGAAGAGGTGGAGACTTTGCCTGTTCTTTCAACCAGTGTAGCTTATGGTGTTTATATGGCAGTTTCTAGCAACCTTCGGTGAGTGTGATTGGATGAGTTTGATCACTTAATCATTTGTGTTTCAGTTATATTGAGATCTTCATCGTTTATGATCTGCGCTCTCATGTTATAATTTCTCTCATACTTGCCTTTTCTCAAAATATCACAATTTTTCTTGTCCTAAGAAGCAAAATAGAAGCTCTAGTCCAGTAATGCTTGTTTTCATTTTTGCATAATTCCACATTCTTTCATATATTAGTCCAAAGGATATTCCTCCAATATAAGCATCTTTCTGAATGGAATGTCACTGGTCACAATTTTGTATTGTATCATGCAACGTACCCTTTTACTTTCTATACTTAGAATCCAGAAAAATCATCTTATTTTCCTCGGTGCGGTACAGCTTACTGATGTAGCTTGCGTGCAAAGAGTATTTCTCATTGTTCGAATGAATACAGTTTGGTGTTCCAGGGCGCCAGTCCAGTTGGCTTTCACCCCCTCGCCTGTTATCCCGGGAGGGGCTGTTATTCATTTTTCTGTTTTCTTTTATTCACTATTCTGATGTCATATTTTGTCAGGGCTCTATTCTGATCTGTCTGAAAACACCAAGTGTAGATATCTGGATACTAATATTGTCAACCCAATACAATTACAACAACCCCCCNATGTGCTTTGCTGTTCGAACAGGCAACACATTCTTGGGTTCACTGTTGTAAGATACTTCACTCCTTTCACAAACATTACAAATACCTCATATTCCTTCAACTCATTAATCACATAACAAAACCTCGACAATTGGTGTACAGGTGGGTCGATTATGCTCGTTTGATCGGAATTCAAAAGGCTCACGATGAAGTTCCTATCCAAAAGGCTCAGGAAGTTGAGTCATAGGTACATCCGCTTGGTTTTGAATTCCGAAAGGTCGATGTGTGCTTGTTAGACCATTTGACATTAAGTAGGTTAGCGGGAAATGATTCGCTCTAGCAGAGGTTATAGACCTAGCATCTTCTTAGGCCTCTCAAGTATCTATACGTGTATCGTAGTTTGAAGACCTTATGATGTTCCTTTTTGGGTTGAGATATCTTCTGCTAAGTCTTTGCTTGAAATTTTCTATCCTTTCTGGTACTTGATAAGTACCAACTACAGGATTGGATTCTGATTGTAACTCAAATGCAACGTTCATTTGAGCAGATTCATAATAAGCACACAGTTTTTTTCGCGCTTGGATACGTATTGATGATATGCTTTCTTGAACATGAACAGCTTTCTTGAACATGAACAGACTTATTGCAGTTCAATCTCATTATGCTTTATACTGGTGTTCACATTTGTGTTTAATGATCAGTTTGTTTTCCACTACTAAAAAGTAATAAACATTTGAGTCCACTTAATTGCACTACCCTCCCCAGATCCCACTTGTAGGATTATACTGTTGTTGTTTCGAAGTGTTTAGGAGTCGTTTAGTTTGTACTAAAAAATAAGTCAGTGTTGCTATTTACCAATGAATAAAAATCAGTACTTCGTATTACACTATTTAATTTGACTAGATATTCAGTTACTGGTTTATAAAGTGGACAAAGTTGTGTTTGGCGTAACTACTGGGTTACTGTTTCATAGCCAGTATGATTAGCCGACTCGCTTTGACTAAGTTAATAGTCTAATAATCAAGCAGCTAATGTGAGGATTAGTCTTTTTGAAGCAATTAATTCTCTGTTAATTATCATAATCTTGTGATACACGGTGGATAGTCTTATGAAAAGGAGTTAATAAGATTCAATTCGAAGAAATTTCTAACTTAAAGAAACAACGTTGACTTGCTTAATTTGAAGATGTGTCACATGAGTCTAGAAACTCTATAAAGCAACCTTCACTTATAAAATGGATATATTTTAATTAGAAAAGAACATGCTGACCTAGCTAATTATTTTGTTAATCTTATTTACTTTTCCACATTTAGTTTAATCCATGTTAAATGAATTATTTACTCATTGATTAAGACTTTTCGAGTTAAAGCAACATGATTAATACTACTAAACGTAAGTTCTTATATATATATATATATATATACGTTTAAGAGTTGGGAAAAATTAGATACACTCAACCAGAAGTCATAATATGATTTTATGTGGCACCGTTCAATTTTAAGAGTCAATCTTCTTAATTTTATCGGACATATAATCTTTAAATTTTTAGAAATAAAATTTTACTATATATTTTAAAACTATATAAAGTACTATGAGTTACACTAATTAATACTTAATTCAAAATATTTAAAAGGCATACTAAAAAATTGCAGTAAAGAAAAAAAACTTCGATTGACTCTTGAGATCCACGGTGCTATATAAATTGGGACTAGAGTATATTTTTGGGAAAGAATATGTTGACATCAGAAACTACAGTGCTACAAAGATGCAATATTTAACTTTTAGCAAAGGTATTTTTTCTATTGTTTTGAGTGTTGGGATTAGAGATACTAAAGTTTGTCTTAGTTTTAATCATAGAGTTCGTCGAAAGCTAACAAGACAAAATATATTAAGACAGACTATGAGCTTCCAAGAAAAAGAGTGTATTTTTAATAGGACAGAAGGGAGGGTTAATTACTCTTTTTTTTTAATTGAGCTTAACTTTTATATATTGATAATGTAAATTACGTTGTCAATTACCCTTTTTTTAAAATTGAGTTTAACTTTTATATATTAATAATGTAAATTACATTGTCAATTAACTTAAAAATAATTTTTAATAATAAGTGAAATTAGTAACTCGAAAAGTAATGCAAGAACCTTTTACAAAAAGTTAAATTGTACTTGCTAGGCCGATGCACGAAATATCCTGCGTTTACGTAGGGTCCGTAGAAGAGCCGCACCCCAAGGAGGTGTGATGTAGGCATGCGACCTTGATACAAGCATCAATGACTGATTCTACGACTCAAACTCGCGACCTATAGGTCACACTTAAACAACTTTACCGTTACTCCAAGACTCCCTTCTTAATGGTAAAATTATACTCGATGCATAGAAATATTTACACAGCCAGTAAATATAACTTAAATTTTGTTTATTTAAAACTTTCACATAAATACTCCTTGCACATAACTCATACCAAGAACCAAATGAGCATTACTTCACAATTTTCTCACTCTCTTTTTCTTCTTCTTCTTCTTCTCTCTACGGTCTCTCAAACATGTCTTCATTTGACAAATCTAAAGTGATTAGCATTTCCAAAACAATTCTTATTTGTGGTTTAATCCTTTACATAACCTTTATTATCTTTTTTAGTGACTCTAATTGTCAATCTTCTCAACTTTTCTCTTCCTTTAGATCAAAATGGGCACCATTTAATTCTCAATCAAATGTTGCACAAACCAATATTGCCACAAATATTAGCCACCTTGTTTTTGGAATTTTAGGGTCAGAAAAAGCATGGCATAATAGAAAATCCTATATTGAATCTTGGTGGAGACCAAATATTACAAGAGGTCATCTTTTACTAGATTTTCCTCCTAAAGATGATCTTTTACCTTGGTCAATAAATTCACCACCTTATAAAATATCAGATAATGTTGTAAAACTTGTTGCGGAAACCAAACATGTTGATCCAACAGTTTTAAGATTAGTTCATGGGATTATGGAGGTGTTTAGAGAAGAACATGAAGGTTTAAGATGGCTAGTTATGGGGGACGACGATTCAGTGTTTTTCGTGGATAATATGGTTGATATTCTCGCACAATATGATCATACGGAGTATTATTATTTTGGTGGGCATTCGGAGTTTATATTGTCGAATTATTGGTACTCATTTAATCAAGGTTTTGGTGGTGCTGGATTTATATTGAGTTATCCTTTGGCTAAAGCATTAGCAAAAGATATGATTAATTGTCTTAAGAGATATAATTATTTGAATGCTGCTGATAAAACTACTATGACTTGCATTGCTGATATTGGTGTCAATCTTTCTCCTCTTCAAGGTATTCATCAGGTATGTTAATTTCTTCCAAAAAAAAACAAAGAAATTTACTCAGCGGTTTCTCTCCTTTCTCTTGAACTTCGAACAAAAATTCAACAATAAATATAGTTGTCTCATCAATAGATAGGAATAAAAGATTTTGTCTAATATTCTTGAAAATCCTCACATTCACCTCCATATTAAACATGCCAGCCATGAAGGAACATTACGACTATATCCTTATGGTAATATAAAGCCTTTTAACAGTGGCGTAAACATATTTTTTTTACAAGCATTGCTGACATGCATATTGTTACGTTTAGAGGAGGAGCTAGAATTTAAAGTTTATGAGTTTGGAATTCTAGTCCGTTTAAGTTATCGGATTTTATATTAATAATTTATACATATTCAATAGATTTCTTAAAAAAATATAGGATTTGAATTAAAGCTACTAGTTTTGGCCGAACCTATAACTTGTGTTCTAGCTCCACCCCTAGTCATATAATTCATATTGTACATCAATGTGGGTATGTGTTTAATGAAATTCTTAAGCTTTACTTCCAATCCCAAATTAATGTTTACTTTACATTATTTTTCAAATAGTGTCAGTCTATTTATATTTACACATTATTTAAAAAAAAAAATTAATTATCTGCATATATACATGTACATTTGTTTTCTTTCTTCTTTATTACTACTAATATATATATACTTGGAAATTTATAACTTGCAGATTGATCTGCGTGGTAATATATCAGGATTTCTATCATCTCATCCAAAATCTTTATTAATGTCCCTTCACCATTTTGACATGGTTGATCCAATTTTTCCCTCAATGGATCGTTCCCAATCAATTTTCCACCTCTTAAATGCAGCAAATTATGATCAATCAAGAATGTTACAACAAACCATATGCCACAAAAGATCAAGTAATTGGACATTTTCAATTTCTTGGGGATACTCAGCTCATATTTATGAAAAAATTATGCCTAGAAGTTGGATACAAAGACCTATTGAAACATTTAAAACATGGCAAAAAAGTCCTAATCCACCACATTATATGTTTGATGTAAGAAATCCTTCTTTGGATCCTTGTGAAGCTCCTCATATATTTTTCTTCAAATCTATTGAGAAAACTCCAAGAAATGAAATTCTTACAACATATATTAGAGCACGGCCTCGAGGGATTGGAGCTTGTTTATATGCTGGAAATTTATCTGCAGAGTATGTTTCGGAAATTCATGTTTTTTCACCAGCAATTAAACGCATTGAGGTAAGTCTTTCACTTTCTATATCTCTCACTACTTTTTTTTCCCTCATAAATTCTCAATAGTATTTTTAAAGCCAAAATTTAGCCGACTGAACTAATGATGAATTATTCATGGAAATCAATGTGGCCATTTGCACAAATGACCATTTTTTGAGGCCAATGCATAAATTTGTCTCATGTTAGTCCAGTGTGCTAAAATTGTCTTCCAAAAACAAAATAAATCATATGCTGTAGTCCTTATTTATTAGGCGAATTACCTCACTGTATTTATAAATACAGTCGCGTGAATACATCAGATACAGTCAAGTAGCAACAAAATTGTAGCTACGGCCAGTAAATATGGATATTGTAGCTATCAAGTTAATAGCCACTTAACTATAGTCATTTCCGAAAATTTCTCTATTTTAAAGCTGAAATTTAGCCCACTGGACTAACGAGGGACAAGATTTAAAGAGTCATAAAAAATGGCCATATGGTGCAAATAATCCAAATTAATGTGAATTTAATAAGAAGATCTGTTCATTTTGCTATGACTTGAAAATTCAGGTAACATAAATAAAGAGAATAATTAAAAATCTGCAAAGTTACATAACTATTGTCATATATAAACAAGGAAATAGAAAGCAATGATATGCACATTTCTTTCTATGTTTTTAAAATAAATAATAACAAGTTGATTTCAAGCAGACGGCTATTTAACTTATTCTTGTACAAAAATGGACAAAAATTTTGCGTGGATTTCATCGATGAATGTCGACGTTATTCATAAAGAAATATTAGATTATTAGTAGTAAATTTATAGCCATCTAAATTAAACCATTAATTACAAACAAATCTCTATTCTAACCACTATTCTTTTATTTAATTATTTATTCTCTTATTTATATTCTTTTTTTTTTCCTCCAGATTGATAGATGTGAATGTTGTGACATCATTCATGAGGCTGGATCCAATAAAGCTGATGTCAAGTATAGAGAGTGTAAGACAGATGAGATAATAGCTTGATCAACTAATAACGTTATTGTAAAAGCAATTATGTCAATTTATTTTTCTCATTTTTACCAATTTTTCCAATAGAAAATT